GTCAAGACACCCTCCTGCAGGCTACTCTACAATGGGTGGATCCTGCCCTTCCACACTCATCTGCACAGCTTTACCTCCTCCTAGTTCCAGATCATCTCTGTAATCCTCAGGGAGACCCCATACCCATTAGGCACCCATTTCCCATCCCTTCGCTCCCCCTGCCCTTGGCAACTGTCGTCTCTGTCTCTGTAGATTCAGCACTCTGGAAGTCTCACAGAGTGGAAGCATTCAGCACATAGCCTCTGCTTAGCAAACAGGTTTTTATATTTGTCTATGTTCTGGCATTATCAGAATGTCATTTCTTGTTGTGGCCAAACAGTAGTCCATTATATGGATTGTCTCACTCCGCTAGCCCATTCATTGGTTTAAATGCCATCTCTGAGTTGTGCCTACCCTTTGGCTATTGTGAAGTGTGCCACTGTGAACTTGTACCAGTGTCTATTTGAATGCTATTTTTGAATACGATTTTTAATTCCTTTTGGAATTGCCACTGTTAGCTTCAACTGTCAACTTAACACAGCCCAGTGTCCCCCTGGGAAGAGGGAACCTCAACTGAGGAGTTACCTAGGTCAGATTAGCCTATGGTCATGTTTTTGAGGGGTGTTTGTTTGTTTGTGGTGTTTTTGTTTTGTTTTGAGACAGGGTTTCTCCATCTAGCCCTGGCTGTCTTGGAACTTGCTCTGTAGACAAGGATGGCTTCCATCTCAGAGATTTGCCTGCTTCTGCCTTCTGAGTATTAGTATTAAAAGGCATGAGCCACCACTTCCCAGCTGAGGTATTTTCCCAATTGCTAATTGATGTAGGAGCGCCCAGCCCACTGTGGGCATCCCTAGGCAGGTGGGCCTGGGCTATATAAGAAAGGTAGCTGAGCAAGCCAAAGGCTCCTGCATTTTGAAAGCAGCATTCCCCCATTGGTTTCTGCTTCAAGCTCCTGCCTTGAGCTCCCTCTATGATGGACTGTAACCTGGAAGGTGAAATAAACCCTTTTTTCCCCAAGTTGCTTTTGGTCATGGTGTTTATCACAGCAGCAGAAAGCAAACTAGAACAGGGGCACACCTCAGAGTTGAATTGAACAGTTATGAAATAATTCTGTATTTTAACTTGGTGAGAACCGATCATGCCGTATCCCTCCACTGGCTGTACCATCTCACCTTCTCATCAGCAAGACACGAGGATTCCAACTCCATGAACTCTCTCTCCTTTCTTAAAACACACTGAGCCCATTTAGTGCTTTGTGGTAAAACCATCTACTGGAATATGGGGAGTCGTCCAAGGGCCACATCCTGAAGAAAGTGTACAGTCCCTCATCCAGCAACTCAGTTGCCAATAGCCTCTCAGTTAGGGGCAGGATTTCATGAACCCCTTCCCCATGCATGCTGGGACTTTGGCTGGCTTCATCATGTCTACACAGGTCTTGTACATGCTGTCATAGCCACTGAGTTCACGTGTGCTGTGGCCCTGTTGTGTCCAGCAAATAATGTTCCCTGCAGATGTCCACTGTCTGTGGCTCTTACTTCCCACCCCCTCTTGAAGAACTCTCTCTGAACCTTTGGAGTTGGAGTGGTATAGATGTCCCACTGAAGAGCTGTTTAGAGCCGAGCATTCCGTAGCATTGGCCAGTTGTGGTCTCTGCATTAATGTCTGTCTACTACACAAAGACGCTCCTTTGATAAGAGATCAGAGACACACTAATTCTTATTCAGGGCTGGTCCACATCCTGGGTCTGTGGTTTCCACAGTAGCTACTGGGAGATCTGTATTTGTTTTTAACTAATTGCCTTATGCTCCTTACTCAGTACCTCATTTTATCCTCTGAGAACCCCTTGCAATAAGTAGAATCCTTCCCCCTTCTTCTAGGTGAGAAGAGCAAGTCTCAGGTAACGGTACTTACAAAGAAACATAGCTGACCAAGGTTCCAAACTTGTTTCCGATTGCAAACTAGGGCCTGTTCCATTATCTCACGCAGACTTGTATCCTATCCTGTTGCTATTTGTTTTAATAGATTTATTTTTATTTTCTGTAGTGAGTGTTTACCTACATGTGTGTGTGGATACATGTACACCTGGTGCACCCAGAGGTCAGAAGAGGACATCAGATCCCCTAGAACTGGAGTTACAGTGGTTGTGAACCATCATGTAGGTACTAGGAACCAAACCTAGGTCTCTTGTAAGAAAAACAAGTGCTCTTAACCACTAGACATCAGGTTAGCCCCATCCCTTTTTTAGATGCTAGGATTTGAACCCAAGGTCTTGTATATCCTGGGCAAATGCTGAGCCACCAAGTTGCATCCCAGCCCCTTTGCATTCTTCTATTGCAAATCCTATTCATGGGCTTTTTCATCTCTTGAAAAACTTTCTTCTTTTTCTTCCTTAACGTCCCTTTCCTTGTTAAAATATGATTCTTTGTGGCTGGAGAGTTGGGTCAGTGGGTCACTGGCCACTCTTCCAGAGGTCTTGAGTTCAATTTCCAGCAACCACATGGTGGCTCACAACCATCTGTAATGGGATCCCTTGCCCTATCTGTCTGTCTATCTATCTATCTATCTATCTATCTATCTATCTATCTATCTTCTTTATGCCTCTGTGGCTGTCTTGGTAGTGGCTGATCTCTGTACTGCCTGCACTATAGAGGCCAGACTTCATAGTGAGTTCCAAGCCAACCTGGGTTACAGAGTGAAACTCTGTCTCAAAACAACACTAAACAAAGCGACTTGGAAAAAGCAGGCCATGAAGAACGCCTACCTTTCTTAGACATCTTGAGGAGAATGGTGTAGATACTGAGGCTGGGACACAACAGCAGGGGGCAGGCACTGTGGGCTTAAGGAAGCTGGATCTCCAGCTGAAGTCTAGACTTAAGTAAGAGGAGCCATCAAGGGAAAGAAAACCTAGATCCTCTGTCAGCCCTGGGGGTCAGAGAAGCCAGGGCAGACAGCCACAAGCCTTCTGCTACCTTGAGGTCTCAACAATGTCTTGCCTCACCTGGCAATGACGGTACATGCCTTTAATCCCAGCACTACAGAGGCAGAGGCAGGTAGAACTCTGAGTTTGAGGGCTACACAGAAAACAAAACAAACAAAAGAATGTCTAGCCTTATTTCTGGGCACTGTACAGCATCTGCTCTGAGTTTTCTGTGTAAGCCAGACAAATATCAAGTACTAGGTAAACAACTGTACCCCCAGAGAGAACCCAGCAGGCATACCCCTGCAGCTTTCCTCTACCCTCCCTCACCCCACAGCTGTTCTCGTCTGGTCTGTCCACTATCCCCATTCACAAAGAGTAAACTGCAGCATCCAGACTGCCAACATATCTCCATCAACACTTATTGCCTGCCTAGTCTTTGCCTGGGAAGAGGTTAAGGGGGTTGGACATCTGTGGTAAGGCAAGTTCTTGGAGTGTAAGGCCATGTGTTACTTAGAGAACTTACTTTGTATAGTTCTGTTGATATTGAGTAATATGCTTTGATGATCTCTTCATTTTAGCCCAGCTTGATTGTAGGCATCACTCCCCCAGAAGAGAAATCTGCCTAGATTCAGATGTGTCATTTATCATGAACTTAGGAGACACCATCCATGTAACTCTCCCATGAAACGTGAGAGCTGGTATGATTCCACTGTTTATACATGCAAAGACAGAAGAATTGAGCAAGGAGTGATGGGAGCAGGAGGGTTAAGTCCAACAAGGTGCAGCAGACCTTGGGATGGATTGCTCTGGGGAGACATGAGTTGGGTTTCAAAGGCCAGAATCTGAAAAAGAGAATCCTCAGACAGAAACACCTGCTGAGACGGTGAGGAGACATAAAACCAGAAGGAAAGCCCTTGCTTCAAAAGATTGTCCTCTTAGCATCCTTAGGGCATCCATGACTTGAGAAAGCCTAAGAGATTCCCCTCCCCACCTCCTTGGGGATGCCAGCACTGTTGTTATGCATGATGTTTTCCAATAACTATTGCCTATAGTTAGAGTTAGCTCTGGCTGTTTCCAGTTCCTGTGTGTGTGACTGGGCTGCTCTCTCTTGTTTAATTCCTTTCACAGCATGGAATTTACTTCACCCCTGTCCCTCAGTGATCTGACCCGACCTTGATTCCTCTGTGTAGGGATAAGGTATCAGGACTCAGCTTCGGACACTGGGGTTAGTGGGCTCCCAGCCTTCCCACACATCTGTCCTGACTTCATATCTTCTCTGCCCTCTCCTTCTGCTCTCTTCTCCCCCCACCCCACCCCCATTCTTTTTCCGGCCTCTCCTCTTGTTCCTCTGAGTCTGAGCCACACTGATGTACTCAGGAAGCCTGCCTGTCTGATGGGAAGGGGAAAGGGTCTTGCCTTCCTTCCTAAACATTCTCTCACTTCTCGACTCTTCTAGACCCCCAGCCTCTCTTGGCCTGTGGGTCTTTACACTTCCAGGAGCTGCCCAGCAGTGTGGGTGGGTATACTCTCTACTCCCAGTACTTTCTTCTCTGAGAGACTGGGAGAGGTTGAGAATCCCCGCCATCATGAATCAAAGGAATTTTTGATGCCTTTGATGACCAGAAAGGTAACAGAAGACCCTAGGAGGATTGTTGACAGGGCCAGGGACCCATGCAGGTTGTTAGTAAAAACACGGTACAAGGGCTGGAAGGCAGGAGCTGACATGTAGACTTTCATGGCTCTGAAGGAGAGGAATGCTTAAGGCAGGAGCCTAATTAGGAGAACCCAAAGAGACAGCTCATACTATCTCTGTTCACAGGACAAAAGGTTCTGTCTTTTTTGTAGCTGTGTGTCCCCAAGTCAGTAGCTAGAACACTTAGACCTGATCTGCTTAGACTTCATTTCAGAGAAAAAACTTATAAAGGCATGCCACTATGGGGGCCAGCACTAGAGCTTTAGGCTCTTCCACTGAAGTATACTTCACCCTGAATGTATGGTCTAGGTAGAGAAGCCACACCCAGAGGTGTCCAGGACTGTGAGAAGAACTTGGGCTAGACCCTTCCCATGTCTCATGATTTATTTGCGGTTGCCTCCTTCCCAGGGTGACAAGGGAGATCTTGTGGCCCTGAGCCTCCCCTCTGGCCCTGGCCATGGTGACACTGATGGACCCATCAGCCTGGATGTGCCAGAAGGAGCGCCGGACCCCCAGCGGACTAAGGCTGCCATTGACCACCTGCACCAAAAGATTCTGAAGATCACTGAGCAGATCAAGATCGAGCAGGAGGCACGGGATGATAACGTGGCAGAGTACCTGAAATTGGCCAACAATGCGGACAAGCAGCAGGTGTCACGCATCAAGCAAGTATTTGAAAAAAAAAACCAGAAGTCAGCCCAGACCATCGCCCAGCTGCACAAGAAGCTGGAGCACTACCGTCGGCGCCTGAAGGAGATTGAGCAGAATGGGCCCTCACGGCAGCCCAAGGATGTGCTACGTGATATGCAGCAGGGGCTGAAGGATGTGGGTGCCAACATGCGTGCCGGTATCAGTGGCTTCGGGGGTGGCGTGGTGGAGGGTGTCAAGGGCAGTCTCTCTGGCCTCTCACAAGCCACCCACACCGCAGTGGTGTCCAAGCCCCGGGAGTTTGCCAGCCTCATTCGTAACAAGTTCGGCAGTGCTGACAACATCGCCCACCTGAAGGACCCTATGGAAGATGGACCCCCTGAAGAGGCAGCCCGGGCGCTGAGTGGCAGTGCCACATTGGTGTCCAGCCCCAAGTACGGCAGTGACGATGAATGCTCGAGTGCCAGTGCCAGCTCTGCTGGGGCAGGCAGCAACTCTGGGGCTGGGCCAGGAGGCGCACTGGGGAGCCCTAGATCCAACACTCTTTATGGTGCCCCTGGAAATCTAGACACTCTGCTGGAAGAGCTGCGGGAAATAAAGGAGGGCCAGTCACACCTGGAGGACTCCATGGAGGACTTGAAGACTCAGCTGCAGAGGGACTACACCTACATGACCCAGTGCCTGCAGGAAGAGCGCTACAGGTGGGTACCTCCTGGCTTCTGTGTGTGGGTCCAGTGGGAAGTAAGGAAGCTGCTCTGAGCTGTGGAGGCCACTGGAGAAGTGTCCAGAAGGGTCCAGCAATGCCAAAAGGAACCTCTGAGGAACTTTCTCCAGTATGGAAGAGAGGTCACCAGACCTCTGGAAGGAAGGTTCTGTTGGTCTCATGATGCTTTGGAGTGTTCTGTGCTTAATTCACAAAGGAGAAACTAAGGCAAGGGCCAGCACCATAGCTATGCTCCTCTGGAGAGATTGTTGTTCAGAAAGAACCTTGGAGGTGGCTTCTTGGGTTCAAATCGCAGATCTTGGTTTTAGTACCACAAACAAGCAACTAGCACCCTGGACCTGGTTTCCCTGCTGTGAAGTGAGGGTAACACTGATTGACTTCATGGGCTGGTTATAAGAGTGTATGAGCTGGCTAGGTGTAATGGTGTACTCCTTTAATCCCAGCACTCAGGAGGCAGAGGCAGGCAGATTTCTGTGAACTGAGACCAGCTTAGTCTATACAGTAAGCTCTAGGCCAGCCAGAGCTACATTGTAACCCCGTTTTTTGGTTTTTGTTTTTTGTTTTTTTTAAAAAAGAAAAGACTGAAGAAGTCAACCTATAAATGCAACATGGAGATAGATGGGTGAATGGACAGTTAGAATGCCTCAGACTCCACAAATGGACTGGAGTCTGGTCCTCCCCCACCTCCTCCCTCTCTGGGATTTGGGGGACCTTGCTCTTAGTACTTCTTTCTAGATGATGGTTTGTAAAATTGAGGGGAACCCCACCTAAAAACTAGCCACCCTCACTTTAGAGTCATCTTTTGATACTTGGTGCTTTTCAGAGCAGGGGTCACATCTTCTATACCCCAGGATCTCTGCTACCCAGAGAGCATCGTAGCCAGGGTTTAGGAATCTGGGTTGAAGTCACTTAATCCTGAACTGCCTGACAAGAGCCATGAGGTCCCAGACAGGTTCCTTAGTCTCTGTCTCATTCTCCCATCTGTCAATACAGACGACCTCCTCCTGTCTCATGAGGCTGTGTGAGAATTCTCTGAGGCAATGCCAGTCAACGCTTACACAGAGCTGTCACAGAGAAGTGCTATGCTGTCACGGGGGTTAAGATGAGAGCAGGACTGGACACATGGGTGGGCTGCATGTCACTACTGAATGGCGCTTTGGTCCTGGGGAGAGAACAGCTTAGTAGCCAAAGAAGTAGTGTTACCTCCCTTTTTTCTACTAGGTATGAGAGGCTGGAGGAGCAGCTGAATGACCTGACTGAGCTTCACCAGAATGAGATGACCAACCTAAAGCAGGAGCTTGCCAGCATGGAGGAGAAGGTGGCCTACCAGTCCTACGAGAGGGCCCGGGATATCCAGGTATGGCCAGAGCCACCCTGGGGAGGTCCTGATATGCTGATAGAGCCAACAGAAACTGCCCCATCCATAGGCTCAGGGTACAGGTGAGAGCGTCGGGGTGGACATATCACATGGGACACTATGAGCAGAAGTAGTGTATCCATGGGACCAATAGGTACAGGAAGCCAAAGAGGGGAATGAGGCTTATCAATAGGACCAATAGATACAGGAAGCCAAAGAGGGGAGTGTTCATAGGGTAGACATAAGAGCAAGGTAAGTCCTTGCCCAAGTATGTGCACTGTACAAAGGCAAACCAGTGGGTTAAGGCCACCTTCATTTGCCACATCTTTACAGGTTTACAATGAATAATTGTTATTTCCAGGCATTTCTTTGCCTCAGTATGGAGCTGGGATCAATAAGCAAGACTTCCATTTCCTTAGATCTTCTCAAACAGTCATCATTAAAGAGTTCTGTTCCTAATCGCAGCTAATCAACCTATGCCCTTCTTGGCCTTGAAGAGGGGCCGTATGGTGCCACCTTCTTGGTACAGTAGCATATTAGTCTATTCTTTGCTGTAGCAAGATGCATGAGGTTGGATAATTTGTAAAGAGAAAAAGTCTGCCCAGCTCTCACTTCTAGAGATCCGGGAGTGTGGAGTCATCCTCTCCTTAGAGCTGGTAAGGGCCTCATAGCTATAGCTTCCCCAGGGCAGGGACTGTCACATGGTGGGGCAGAAAGATTTGGGGGTCAGACTTTTTCTCACAGAATCTAGTTCAGAGTCCAGCAATACCACCAGTGACTTATTTCTTTATAGTAGTGATACACACACACACACACACACACACACACACACACTTTAAAAGTGTGTTCGCTACACTAACATTGCCATGTAGAAACCAAGCTTCCCCTGGAGGTCACACTTAAGCCCTGTTGGAATCAGCACAGGTAGACTGGGCTCAGTCTAGCCTCTGTCCACTCTAAGCTCCCACGTACCACCCTCTGTCCCCTGCAGGAGGCAGTGGAGTCCTGCCTGACCCGTGTCACCAAGCTGGAGCTGCAGCAGCAGCAGCAGCAGGTGGTGCAGTTAGAAGGGGTGGAGAATGCCAACGCGCGTGCTCTGCTGGGCAAGTTCATCAATGTGATCCTGGCACTCATGGCCGTGCTGCTGGTGTTCGTGTCCACCATTGCCAGCTTCATCACGCCCCTCATGAGAACACGCCTCCGAATCACCAGCACCGCCCTCCTGCTCCTCGTCCTCTTCCTACTCTGGAAGCACTGGGACTCGCTCACCTACCTCCTAGAGCATGTGCTGTTGCCCAGCTGAGCAGCGCCGTCCCACCCCGTGCTCTCCGGATTCCACTGGCCACATGAATCTCCAGGAGGGCCCGGGGCTCCTGAGTTCCTTGGGGTCTGCTATGTGACTTGTTTGGCCCCTAACTGTCCCTTCTCTGCACTGCGTCTGTCTGACACCATCTCCCTTTCAGCCTGAAGGTTATGGAGAGGGTGCTCTGGGCTGGAGGGAGCAGGGACACTCGCAGCCAAATGGAGCAGTGAGGAAACACTGGGGCTGCATTATTTGAATGATTTGCAGTCACATGGGACTTTTCTGGGCTGACTGGAAGATGCTCTAGTCATGAAAGCCACTACGATAGAAGGCTAGTCTCAAATTCCCTGGGGAAGAGCCCATCTTCAAGGCAGCCACAGTTTCCTCCCATGGAGATGGCCTGGATGAAAACCAGTGGGAGGCTATGCTGAGCCAGAGAGTGCAGAAAGGGAAGGGTCCCCAGGCTTGGGGCCAGACGGCAGGCTTAGCACAGCCACTGGGAGCTCAGCCTCCCCTTCCCCTGCTTCTCTTCCCACTTGAGCTGGTTTGGGACTGGTTTCTGGAGGCTGGGTGGGGTGTGGCTTTGGGTTTGTGTTTTCTCTGCTCATCTTTCTGCCTGTCACTGGGTGTGCTGTTTTTCTGAAAAACAGGCCCCAAGGGCCCTGAGCCTCCAGCCCAAACCCTTAGACCTCTGGGATCATGTTGAGTTCTAATTATTTATTTATTTATTTATTTACTTATTTATTTATTTGTTCCCACCCTTCCCTTGCTTCTGCCCAGCTGGGCTCCAGGGAGAGGACCCTGCCCATCCTGCCTCTGAAGCTGGGGCTTACTCTTGGTTCATCATACTCCAGACCATGTATCCTCTGGTGTTCCTGGCTGGAAGAAGGGGCGTGTGGCTATGTAGCCCACTCTCCCAAGCAGCCCCAGCAGATGGACAGGAGGGGCATGGCCTCTTTTATATATATCTACTTATTTTATATGTGTGTCTTCGTGAGGAAGAGGATGTTTGTCATTTCCTTAAGGCTCTGGAGTGTTGTGTTCGATTCTGCACAACCCAGCCTCCCCAAGAGCCCTTCCAAGCACAGTGGGGATTTCTCAGAATAGGAGAGAGGAATCCATGAGGCAGGAACAGCAGTGCCTGCCAGCTGTGGTGGACCTTCCTAAAAAATAAATATCCTCTATGTTTTCAAACCATCCTGTCTAGTGTCGACTGATTACGCTGTCTCTGAAAAATCACAGGATTTCTCCCCACACTCAAGCATTCTGGGTATCATCTGTTGGCCGGATGTTGTCTTCCATACTGAATGAGGCATATCCACCCCCCCCCCGCCCCCTGCCTTGCTCTCAGCAACTTAAATGATATGACTCTCATTCCATCCAGTCCCAGCTTTGCTGGAGCACCCAGGAGGGTTGTGGAGAAGCTGCTATGACCAGTTGTAGCCACAAGAGGTCAGCAGAGTCTGTATTCCAAAACCTCTCTCAAGATGCAGTCCTAAAAAGGCTACTGGCATTAGCTTGACTTTGTTGCAGTTGTTCAGCTGAGGCAGGGAGTAGCTGCTTTCCAAGTGTGGCGCTCTACATAAAGGCCTAGCACTTAGCACCTGCCCTGTAGTTGTAGTGCCTACAGCTAACAGTCCCAAAGCCCTTCCCAGCAGGAACTTTGTGGATACTTGCAATAGGCCCTTTGCAGGAGGAGGCAGCTTGTGGGGGTGGAGGGGAGGGCTATGATTAAAAAGAACAAAAACAAACCAAAAATCAACCTTTGGTCTCAGCCTATAACTAATGCACTGCAACCAACTCCCAGCCCTTCTCTGGGCCTCAGTTTCCACATCAGTAAAGCAGGCTGGATGTGTCCACTGTGTGTGTCAGTTCTGTGCTGGCATTCTGTGAGTCTGTGAGTCTGACAAGCAAACATTGCAGCTGTGTCTGTGGCCTCAGGCTCCAGGGGACCCAAAGACTGGAGAGGGCACAGTGCTGCCACCACAGAAAAGCAACACTGATGATCTGAGTTTGCCCTCTGTGCTACGTAGGAGTTTTCCCAGACGGCCTTCCAGCTATCCCACTCTTGGACCTTGCACCCCCTTTCTCTTCCAACCACGTGTGTATGTGAACATCTCTTGGGGGCCACAGGTGGCTCAGAGCCCACATTCCTGGGCCCCAGGTAGGGGGTGGCTGCTCCTGGCTAGATATTTCCTACATTCCTTCCAAGGTCAGATGCCTTCCCAGAATTGGCTCTGAATGCCACTGCCAGCTGCAGCCCACACTGAAAGGGAGCGGAGAGGAAGGAGAGGTCATTTTTGGTCAGCTCTGAGGCTGCAAAGCAAACAGCCTAAGGGAGGTGGCAGGCCCCCAGCTACATCTTTGTAGAAGAAAGCACTGGCTTATTTACCTCATCCAGGAAGCAATGAAACATCTAACAAAACCCTGCCATCCTGGAACTAGAGGAGGCTGCCATGTTTGTGTCTGTTTGTGTTCTCTCTGGTTTTTTTTTAAAGAGGGGGGGTGAGTTACCCCCACCTCCTTCTCTCCCCCGAGGTCCAGAGAGCGAGACACTGAGTCAAGGTTACCACTTGCAGTCTGCCTCCTTCAGACAAGACCTAGAGGCGGGCCCTTCCCAGAGCATCTGTCCCACAAGGGCACATCTCACCCCCAGGGTACTAGAGAGCTCAGTCAGACAGTTAGACTCCCACTACCTGGGTCCCTTAGGGTGGGGGTGGATGAGAAGACTTAGTGCCTTCTGTCTCCTTGGCAGGGAGCTGGCCCAGAGCACGTGTGTTTTGTACCCTGCAGAGCCAGCCCACTCGATAACCTCATGGGTCACAAAGCCTCAGCAAGTGTAAACTCTGCAAACCCAAAAGGCAGCTCAGACCTAGGGTAAGGTACAGCTGATCTATCTGTACTGCAGAGTAAGGGGAGGGAGGAGACACTGGGACCATAGCCAGGAGAGGAAGGGGAGCTATAACCAGATCTTTCGGGCAGGCTAACCTCCTCTGCAAGGGCAGGCCCTAGAGTCAATCCCAGATCTGGGCTCAAAGTCAACACTGCCACTTAGACCCGTCGCACCCAGCTTCTCCCTCACATCTGCCAGTAAGAGTGGTGTCTCTGGTACACAGCTGTGGCAACAGGAGACATGCATGACATTGCATGCCTAAACTTGATGGCACACTCACTGGAACTTAGAGAAATAATCCAAAGAATGACCACTCAGCACTGGGTGGCCAGGTCCAGAACTGCTTGGAGGAGTTGAGGCAGACTCTGGAGAGACACACTGGGTGACACAGGCAACGGCTCTGACCTGAAGACCCACGATCCTTTTCCTCCAGACTAAGAGTTTGCTTATTTGCCTAAGTCTCTCACCTCAGTCTCATCAGCAAAAACTCCGCTTCCTAGAAGATGAGATGAGACACCCCCCACCCCCCGTCCTGAGCTACCATCAAAGCCTTACGAGTGTATCCATGTGGGGCCCTCTCTCCTCTAGTAGGTATGATGTCTAGGAAAGAGAGTGAAAACTGAAGTCAAGATGCGTGAGTATGAGTTAAGACGGTTGGCCCAAACACTTGAGTGGAAATGATGCCTACATTGCCCAGCTAGTAGGATTTGGCAAGGCACAGAGATGTCAGGAGTGGGTGCTGTCCCACAGTGCCCCCAAATGACCTCCCCTCCGGGAGCTATTTCAAGGAGACTTCCCAGCCATTTGGGACTCCAACCAATGGGGACTCTGATCTGCCACCAGAGCTGGGCAAGGAAGTGGCCATAGTGAAGTGACTTGGAAGCTTACAGAAAACCCTCAGAAGAACATGAGAAGAGGCAATGGGCCCCACCATGGCCTGCCGGGATGGTGTCAAGGGAGGAGAGGAGGTGGGGCCTGCCACAGCATATCCAGACATGTTGGTAAGTCCTGAGTCACCCAAGCAGCCAGAAGGGCAGTCTGGGTGGAGACAGCAGCACTGCCTCTTATGCACAGCGCCTTCAGGAGAGCACTCCCACGCTGGCATCCCCGCCCTGACATAGTTCCCCGAGAGACCGTCTGGATGAAGCGTCCTGGACTCATCACTGCTGAAAAGGTCACTTCTGCCATATCCCTGCCTATAAGTTGACTCTGACTCCAAAAGTACCCCAAGGCTCTTCCTCAGTCTGCCTTTGGGGACGCAGGCTCTGCACACGGTTAGACCCCTCATCTGAAGCTTCCTGATTGTCTCTTTCCTTATCCTTATGGGAATTTCAGCTCACTGGATAGAAGCCATGGCCAGTAAACGCCATGGCCAGACCCTGAGCCACTTCCTCACATCAACCCCCTATGCTGAGAAGCCACTAGCCATGTCAGGAAAGGTCTTGAGCTATACGTGAAGGTGGTCCTCTGACTATCAGACACCCAAGAGGTAGAGGCAGGAAGAAAAAGTTTAACTTCCCTTGAGATGGATCACTAATTGAATTCACCCCAGAAGCAGGTCCCCACCACAGACCTGCTGCAACCAGCCAACTTAGACCCGTCTTCTCAGCCTGAGAGACACAACTGAAGAAGAAGGTGCTAATGGGGGTCCCAATCTTTTTCCACTTCTCCCACTGTGGCTCTTAGGGGTCCCCTCAACTAAGGCAAATGACCTTAAACCTAGTCTTAGGTTCATGTCAATCCCAGAAATATGGCTTTGAGTACCAGGGCATGATGAACACAGAGACACAATCACACGCACATGAATGTGTACACATGAACATACAGACATAAGAACACATACACACAAATATACACATGGGCACACATGCTATAAAAACATGAACAGACAAACTTGCATACATACATATAAGCACATGGTGATGCATGCAAGCACACACATACATAACACATGTGTACACACACATGTGCAGACACAGAAACATGCACTACATACATACATACACAAATATATAAACACATATGAACACAACTATGTGCATGAATACATGTATGCACAGGTACACATATGTATGCAGTTACACATACATAGGCATATAGGTGCATTCACACACACAAGAACACCAGCACAAACATCCAAGCACATACAGTGTACTAATTAGTTTTATCAATTTGACACTAGGCAGAGTTACCTGACAAGAGGAGACTTTCATTGAGGAGGCAATTTCCTCCATCAGATTGGCCTGTGAGCATGTCTGTGGACTTTGTCTTGATTATTGATTGATATGGACAGTAGTGCTGTCCTGGGCCAAGTTACACCTGGGATGGTGGTCCTGGGTTATATAAGAAAGCAGGCCGAGGGGCTGGAGAGTCAGTTCAGTGCTTATGAATGCTGGCTACTCTTCAGAGAACCCATGTTTGATTCCCAGGACCCATGTGGCAGCTCACAGCTCTCTGTAATTCTGGTTCCAGGGTATCCGATGCTCCCTCTAGCCTTTGCACAGATGTGTACACATAAACACACACAGCATCATATGCATGTATACAAGATCACTCTTATGCAAACACATATCCCAGTGTCCACACACATCATTACATCACTTCTCTGGGATTCTAAGTTCTCATCTAAATGAAAAACTTGAGAGGGAGAGACAGATACAGCTAATGAGCTACCAGGCCCTGGAGGCTCAGACAAGACAGGATAAGGTGCTGTGTGAAGCCTACTCAAGGAAGAATCCCAGCATAGAGAGAGAGGAAGGCCCATGGGAGGCTCATGATCAGGACCCGGCTTATTTGGGATGCTGGGGCTTGGGGGTGTCTGGGACCATCAGGCAGGTCCTCACTGCTGGAAGCCCAGGCTGGGAGGCGTTCTGGAGGCTGGATTTGAGTTAGTGGCTCCTGTTTCTTCACATCGTCTCACACATTCGTCAAATTTCTTGATGCCAGCATTCTGACTGGGGTGAGGAGCAATCTCAAAGTAGTTTTAATTTGCATTTCCCTGATGATAAGAGATGTTGAACACATTTAAAAACAGCTATTGGCTTTTTGCATTTCTTCTTTTGAAAACTGTCTGCTTGTTTCATTAGCCTATTTGTTGATTGGCAGTTTAATTTCCTTGGTATTTAATTTCTGTAGTTCTTTGTACATTCTAACGTCAGCCCCTGTCTGAAGTACGGCTGATAAAGATGGTCTCCTATTCTGTGGGCTGTCTGTCTGCTCTGCTGATATTTTCTTAATAATAATGATTTTAAAACACTTTTTAAAAAGAACTATATTTATCTTATCGGTATGAGTATTTTCCTCA